TAAAGGCCTCATTTGCAGCATTGATAGTGAAGGGCATAGAGCACACAGGTCCGTATCTGCTGCAGTGAAATGCATACAGCTCTGTGACGGCTGCTTGCACGCAGAACTCGACCACTTTCCACTTCTGCATTCAACTAGGCTTTAATGCTCCCTTCAGAACAAGCCTCTCAATGGAGCTAATGGAGCATGAGAGTGAGAGCCAGCCAGAGAGAAACACTGATAATGATACATTGAGGGAAAGACAGAGGTGACCCAGACAATCAGTGTGTCTTCTCTGAACTCTGTTTGTTGTCTCTGCACATTTAGTTTCCTCTGTCTGTCTTTACAATGCATACTTCTCTCTCATATGTTATTTCCCACGGTCTTTCCTTTCGTTATTGTCATCTCTGATCCCCTATTATCTTCCAAGTGCCCTCTCACTAATGGCAGTCGATTAAGTTTTGAAGTGTTGAACGCTCCTGTTTGATCTTCATCCAACTTTATCTCTATCTTGTTAAGGTTGTATTTGTAGCTGCGGCATCCTCATTTACATACATATATATATTAGTTAATGCATATTCAGGTAGTGTGAAGGACTGTGTGTAGTCTAGGAGCTCGTTTCATATGATTAGCTTTATGTCACTATAAAGTCAGTAAGGTCTAAATCGTATGTTCTAAGTTGTCTCGGAAACCATGAACATTACGCATTGTTTGATGGTTACAAGAAAGTATTCTAGCAATCATTTTACATTTAATCAAATACTCACATTTTTTGCAAGCAATTAACGCCAAACTCTCCAAGGCTTACGATACGATTGCCTTTTAACTTTGTCTTATGTGACAGTAAGCTCATGAACTATTGGTCCGAAAAATTGGAAATCTGAAGATGTCTCTCCTCTATTTTCTGACACGTCAACCCCTGTGTTTAATTGAAATCAATGACCAGTGATTAATTGGCAATTGAAACTATCGTTGGTAGCCCTTTTTTTAATACGATTTGTGAACTGTGCAAAGAAAGTAAGATGAAGAGAAGCAAACAAGATCCGCACACCAAGAAGCTCCCGTTTGAAGGATTTATTAATAAGTGACGTTTCAAGACAACATGCTCGCCCTGAGACTTTGTTTGATTTTTCAATGAAAGTAAGATGAGTCAACCGCCAAGTCAGTGAGACAATTGTTGTAAGAGAAAATATTTCAACTGCTTACAGATTGCTAAAAAGGGCAGGGTAATGAAGCCTAAGAGTTGGACTAGGCATGTTAACCAACTTTTGAATAAAGTTACTGAGTCTCACTCAGCTAATCTGAGCAAATAAAATGCATTTAAAGTGAATATATAAAATGTGTGATGTTGCTCTTTTTCCTGTAGGCTATGTCAGCATAGGTGTTATAATAAAATAAAATAATCAAAGGCTCTTCGCTCATCCAGAGTTTTAGAACCAGCAACTTGACACCAAGCAGAGCTTAACGGACCTCAGCCATGACTTTTTTTGTATTCTTATATCCGTGCTATTCCTTGCACACATAAGTCAAAATGAATTCATTTAAAAAGGTAAATTCCCAAAAGAATGTATGCATGGCAGCATCTTGACCATCTCCATGAATCTAATATGATTTAAAAATTAAAATAAAGCACGATCCCCCAATAATATAAAGAAATTAGAGGTGTGTTTATTCCAACACACTTCCAAATGGCATTGACACAGAAACTATGGTCAGTTTTGGATCAGGCTGCCATCAGATACTCACTTGCCAAGAGCAGCTCATTAGACAAATTGGAGGAAGTCATGCAAATGCGGCAGAAAGTAAAAGCTCGTGCACAACGTGAAACAGTCATCCCTTAGGTATCAACTACCAAAGACATCAAAGAATAAGCCAAGGATGTTTCAGGGTGCAACATTGTAATTCTGCTTTCTGTATGAATTTTAAAGTAAATCTTATCTTTCCTAATTATTTTGGGGTGAAAAACAACAACCAGCCCAAACCAACAGAGCGGAACAAAAATTAAAAATAAACAAAAGATGAAGACAAAAAGAACAGAAATCAGGTCCCTACGCAAATGCAGCCCCTTTGAAAACATTCCAGTCTGAATCTATCCAAATAGGCCACCCTCAGACAGCTTATTTGGTCTGCTGACTTTACAAAGCTTATGTCTTGCTTATTCACAGGTATGACTCATATGTTTTGTGAGATGGAACAGTCTCATTGTATAAAGAAAAGGCTGCAGCTGACATAACGAGTAGATAGACGGGTTGTAAAACGGTGCAGTAATTATCTCTGACCTCAAAGATTTCTTAGTTAATTGGCGTGCAGACCCCTGAAGAACTGCAGTTACAGGACATGAAGGATGGAGAGAGAAATGGACAGCACATTTTGTGCTCCCCAGAAGAAGTTAATGAAGAGAAAAGAAGGGAGAAAAGTGGAAGAGTGTTTATGAAGAAAAAAGGAAAGTAGCGATACAATGAGGTCAAAATGAAGAAGAGAAATGAGTTGAGATGCACAGAGAGGTGAAATTGTATGCAGGTATAGCAGAAATCAATAAGATATAGGAAGCTTGGGCATTATGTTTGTTGCTGTGCCCAGTTCAGCGGAAAAAAAGCGCACACTTACATCTGCCTGACATAGACTTGAGCAGATGCACATACAGAAATAGCTCTCGAGCGGAAAGTAAAAGAAGGATACAAGTCCATCTAGGGCAAGATGGAGGCATTCTGCACTCCACTTTGTTTGGCTGAGGTAGACATTTCCAGAGCTCTAATGTGTCCTGGTGGTTTTGCTTTCTCATCAGACATGCAGTCCTTTTACCTGAGCTTCACAGAAAACTAAAAGCTATTCCTGGAGATGGCAGGAATTATGTGCATGCTCTCACTGACTGCTTCCCTCATGAGGTGCTCTGTGCAATGGCGTGAATTAGCTGTTTGTTGTTTAGTGTTTAATCGCAACCTTCTGATCTCAGCCCAAGGGGAGCTGTGAAAGCTACTGCCAGAGTGGCACACAGTATATCTCTTAAATAACTTACAGGCAGCACAACACTTGCATGACCTTGATCATGAGTTAGCATGTACACATAGCCCAATGAGGGGTGGGACTGTGATAGGCTGATTTTTTTCTGCATCACATAAACCTGCATCGGAGACCAAAAAACAAGCTAAAGAAAAGGATTAAATGAAGCATTACAATGAGAGAACAACAAAGACCAAATGGTTAATGCTGAAGCAGAGAGCAGTGCTTTGAATACTGACTGTGTGTCATTCATGTCCGTACAGCAGGGATGAGCGACAACAAGCTCAGGCTGACCCATTGTGCCAATGAGATGTGACTTACATTTTTTGCAGCAAAAAACGTTTCTAGAAGGAAAACGCAGAAACAACAGAATAAAGATAATGTTTTCTCGCTCACTTGCTCTCATTCTCTTATATGCACAAACAACCTGCCTGGCCTGCAGTTTTTTTCCCTGTTATATTGATGATTTGCACCTTCTAATACAAACATTAGCTGACAGTAAGGGGCCCATTACAGATGCCAGTGCGCCCCCTGTCCTCCACAGAGCTGGTAAGGGAAGGCAGCATGAGTGTAACCTTCGACTAAGCATGATGAAGTTTGACAGCGCTAAGCAGCCAGGCTCGCTCATTAGGCCTCCCTGTGTCAGCTCTCTATGGTCAGGGTCTCTCCTCTTGGCTTTCTCTTTCATCTCTTAGCTACAGAAGCCCAAAGCCCCGGCGGTCTCCTCATTAGACAGGCCTGTTGCATTAATGCAGCCCAACATAACACACTGAGCTGGAGTTGTTCCAAAATAAAATCCCACCTCATTTGCCTTGGTTGCAAACATGAAGCCGGCTGCGATGGCTAGAGGTGTAGCTGAGCGGACTGATGTTTGGCAGCGTCTGGACTCCTTTCAGATGATGGAGGCCTCCGCTCACACTAGATGACATTAGCCTACAGTAACAGCGACAAAATGCTGTCTGCAGCAGGACCACTGACCTCTATGAGATTTAAAACCACCTCAACTCTCCCAAAGCTACCGCACAAACACACCTGGTGGCAGAAAGACCGTTTGTATTGTATTTAGCTTCATCTCTAAGGTATTGTTTTAACAGCTTTCTCATGTGAATAAGTGTATACACCATGTTGCGTTCTTATGAAAACAATTCCACTTTTGATAATTTATCATCTGTTACCAGCGCTGGTATCAGTAAAAAAGTAGAAATCTAAGTAATTTTCATGCATTGTAATAAAGAAAAGAGATACACGCTTCTGAGAGGTTTGCACTGCTTATTTACTATGCTGATGTAATAGGAGAAATGGTTTTGATCAGCAACAAAGATGCATTGTGATAGATTGACATCAGAATAATTACTGTTATGTAAAGCAACCTCTGATTTTACTTTGAAGGGTCTACATTTTATGCTACTGTAAACATGGGCCTTTTTCCCCACCAGACTTCAAACACAGGATAAGAACTTTAAATGCTCCTATTCAATGTACTAATTTAGTGCAACCCTTTCCTCAAGATAACTGCTGATACATAGCTGTTGTCCAATACTGGTCCTCAGTTTTTACCTCAATGTGACTACACCTGTAGCCCTGTTAATTAGGTAGTGGCCCTCCTCTCCTCCTTATCCATTCAGCACCATGGACAGCACTGCCTGCTCAGCAGTGTTGGCTGACATCTACAGGACACTATGGGATTATCTGCAGTTTTGCTGCACCCATTGAACATTAATTTGATCAAATGAACTCTTCATTCAGATCAAATCAATCCAAGTGGTTGGTATTTAAGGTATTTAAAAAAAAAAAAAAACTAGGGCCCAGAGACACTCATTTGATGGGATCTTGTCAAAATATCTTTGGAAAAATTGTATTTTCCATGGGAAAGTAGGCTATTTAGTGAAGCTATAGTGAGTAAATGAAAGTGGTTATTATGTGTGCTCTCCCTACATTTATCAGTAATGACTGATAAACTATCCTCTGAACCTCCTTTCAAAGTCTCTGTTCCACTCAAGGGGGGACTTAAAGGTTCTTACCTGATGCTGCTTGCATCCAGCCACAGATCTTATACACGGTTGAGGTGCTGAGGAGGAAGAAGAGACTGAAGCAGGCGATACAGGTGACAATCAGCATCATGGACATTCCAACGATGAAGGAGGCGGCCTTGAACGCAGTGGAGGGGATAGCTGCGAACTCAGTGAAGCTGCCCTGGCAGTCCAGCTCTCTGGCGATTCCGTCTCCGACGCAGAAGTGAAAGAGGCCGAAGTAGCCGACCTGCGGCGTATCCATGCCATCCCCAATCCAATAGGGCTGTGAGAAGATAATCACGTTCACGATGCCGAACAGGATAGTGAAGATGGCCCACAAGAGTCCGATGGTTCGGGAGTTGCGGACGTAATTGGTCTGGTACAATTTCGCCGCTTCTGCAGACGGTAGCATTGATGCGGCAGATCCAGGTATCATTTTATGGAAACGCGAAGACTACAAGAAGGTTGCAATCAGCACGAGCACAAAGCGAGGACTAAACATTTATGAAATGAACCGTGTCTTACAGAATCATCCCCCCAAAACAGCGAGAACAAGCGGAGCACGTACGCCTGTGCAACTGCAACACAGTAACATCTGTCAGACGCGATCAACTCATGACGTTGCAGGCTCAAGCCAGGCGCTGAAGCAGAGAGCTTGGACTCTGGATGTGGCTCAGAACTCCTAAAAAACTCAATGACTACAGCAGCAGATACAGGTTCCCTCCCACTTGCTTAGTGTAGCCGTCAAACGTGCACATCGTTGTCGCACCGTGTCGCTCAATGATGCCCTTCGGAAAAAAAAAAAAAACCTCTTACAACCTCCGAGAGCAACAGAGAGATGTATGAGGCTATCACACTAACTGAGGCTATAACGCGCGAATCAGTCCGGGTGAAATAACAGCAGACAAGCTGGATATTGCCACTCGACAGGGTCTCATAGGCCTATATTAATATTGTTGCAGGCTACTTGCAAATTGACAAACGCCTACCACGATAAGCATTGAGAAAACACGACGCTCCCCCCCCCGCCAGGATCGGTAAGCGGTGAACCTATTTTATTCCGTTTGTGACAGCAGCTGCCGGTGATGCTGCTGGGGAGTCAGTGAGGGCGGGGCACAGGCTGCAGACGCAGAAGCAGCCCGTGATGTCTGTGCATACACCCCTTTCCGGATGACGCTGCGTCAACATCTATGGCCAACAACATCCATTGAACTAACACTCCGTATCATCACGATCGCGAATAAAAGACATGCAAGAAAACCAGGCTGCATTAGATTTTTATGGCAGGATAACGATCTGCCTCCTAACACCCCACGACCGGCTGTATGCTGCGCGAGGGATGCAGCCAAACACTGCTCTCTGCCAGGACGTTATGCAACACTTCATGAGACAACACGCGAAAACACAGGCTAAATATTCCAGTCTGCATAACATAGTATATGCAGCGAATGGCCGAAAAGGGAAGGATGGAGTGTCAAGGGTTTTGAAAAAAAAAGAAAGAAAAATCGGTTTTTAATGCTCTAATGAAAGAAGAGAAACATACTCTGTAATATTGCTCTATTCCTCCCTAATATAGCGTTATTATATAGAGTTATTAGTAGGCTGATCTCATACATTTAGTAGTTTGGAGTTGTAGTCGTGGATCATTTATCCCAAAAAATCTATTGATTCAATTTTACTGAATAAATAGGCAACTTAAAATAAAATATGAATCTTATTCTACAATTCTACAATTCACTTAGCAGACGCTTTTATCCAAAGCGACGTACATCAGAGAGTAAGTACAACACAAGCAAGGATCTAGAAAAAAGGGAACAATGTCAGTAAGAGCAAACAATCAGCTTTGAGTCCGATTGGACACACAGGTGCTGACAGGAAGTGACCAGAGGCAAAGCACAACATTGACGGCAGTTCTTGAGAGCTCTAATCAGTATAGAAACCATCTTATAAGTCGTCGTTATCAAACAAAAACCATCGTCATTACCATCATCAATAATATCGAGACTATCATCATTAAGTTAGTAGGTATTCATGAAAGAGCTGGGTCTTCAGCTTTTTCTTAAAGGTGCAGAGGGACTCTGCAGATTGAATGAAGTTTGGAAGTTCATTCCACCACCAGGGGGCGACAGAGGAGAAGAGTCTAGTCAGAGACTTAGGACCCTGTTGTGAAGGTTGGGTCAGACGCCTTTCATTGGCAGAGCGTAGTGGGCGGGAGGGAGTGTAGACCTGGATGAGAGAGTTAAAGTAAGGAGGAGCCGTTTTTGTCGCTGTTTTGTAAGCGAGCAGCAGAGTTTTGCATTTTCTTATCTTCATACAACTTCAAGAAGTTAGCAGAATTGAGGGATATTTTTTGTTAAAAAAACACCAAAAAACAAAAACAAAATAAATTGTTATATTTGCAGCACACATAGGTTTGTCCACTTCAGCATACTATTTTAATATTTTCATTCCCACAAGGCCACCCATCTAGGTTGTTTAACTTTAATTCTGGATATTTGGTTATTCTGCTTATTAAATAATCTACTTATAATTACTGTTATTTTCCATTGTTGTATGCAATGCCATTATAATCCTTATGAGTTAAATGTCTGGTTGTGTGTAGAATGCTAAAACCTCATTATTTCTGCCAGAATAACAAGACTATTCATAGCTAAGACCTACATATGACCTTAAAGACTTTTAGTTGCTTTAAGGACTCATTCCTACTGGCCCTGAGGGTCAACTACACAAATATTTCATGATGGCGAAAAACATCTCACTGGACAATGAAAACATTTCACTTGCTGGAAAAAAACGGGAGGTTTACCAGTTCAAGGTGCTCCTTTTTGGGCTGTCCCTGGCAGTATACCATATCAATCATCAAAGGGGTACCAGGTTGTCCTGTGTTTTATTTGCTGGTATTTAGAAGAAGTTACTGCGTTACCTGTTTTGGTTATCATGAAATAAAGTTTTATTTCATATTAAATAAGGTTTCATTTCATGATAACCTAACACCTAATACCTAACATCCAAATGACGATGTCAAATTGCATTAATGTTATCAAATTTCCTTACCTTATCATACTGTTTTTGCAGGAGGTCTTAGATGGAGCCACACATGTGTGAGATTCGCATGTCTTCAGAATGTCTTCAGAATGTCAAAGAATACCATTGGTTGACCAAGAATACATGTTTATGTTACCAGAGCTCTAAAAAACCAATGACTGCCTTGCCCAGCATAAAAGTGTTGATGCATTGCCCCATTGGAACCCTATAGGCTGATTAGTTAACAGCCAAATGAACTGCATATTTGGAGGCTGAAACATACCCCAAAACTCACCAAATTGTGCACAAAATTCTAGCATGGTTGAAATATATGTGTCATCAAGGTTTTGTGCATGAGCGTGGTTGAAATGCCTCCACAGCACCCCCTAAAATCAGGTGTCAGGCGACTTCTCTGCCTCAAGGATTGTTGGCAGCACCACTGTAATGTAGTTTAGCTCAGGTGTCTAGGAAGGTGGTAGGAATGCATTTGGTTTGCCCCAGTGATGACAGTGATGACATCATTATGAATACCCAGGAACTGGGGCCCAGACTCTTTTTACATGGGGTACTGAATAAAAAAACAAACAAAGGTAAGGATGGATAAAGAGACAATTATTGTACAAATCCAGAAACTAAATAAAAATAACTGAACTAAATCAAGACTGTGTGTTTGCCTTAACTTACTATGTTACACAATTTTAAATTATAGCAAAATACACAACTTATTCATGAATAATTTGATTTGATATTAATGAAGATTTGACTCACATAAGGGAAGAGTCTCTCCCACTTTGTCACAATAACAGCTTGCATTGCTAACCACTTTGGCCTTCCCTGCTTCTCAAAATCCGGATTTACCGAGTTCGTCTTCACCTGTAGAGATACCAGATACAGACGACAAAAAGAATTAATCTTATTCAGAAATATTTAGGCTACTTTAATGCTGCAAGGGTGAGGCTGATTAGCGTGCCCTGCCTAACTCAATATTATAACGTGATTTGTGTGCAATTTATGTGTACCTTTGGTGTGTGCAGTGTTGACACTCGACGAACTGCAGGATATTGCACTTCCGCATTGGTTCAATTTTTCAACACTGGAGGTTGCAGCTTGGGATCAGCCTTGTCTAGGAGGTTTATGCTTGCCCCTCCCTCCCTACGCCGTTGAGTGAACGTATTTTTAGTACACTGACTGCACACGGATGCAGAGTTCTGTTCAGTCTGGACGGGAATGCAATATGACTCTGCCTCCCTTCCCAAAGAATAATTAAAAATACACAAATGACTTCTAATCAGGTCAGTGTTGTTCAGTTTAGAGTTTTATAGTTTGGCTTGTAACTTGTAGGCTAACTTGGTAGTCGGTTTAATGAAAGGTATAATGTAATTCATGGTTTGGCCAACTTTAAATAGACTAATACTAGACATTAACATAAAAAAAAAAATAAAATAAAAAATAAATAAATAAACATTCTATATCGGAGAGAGATACCAGCTACCTAAAGTTGTCATATCAATAACACAGGTGTACTCAATATTTAGTTATTAACATGAATTCCGAAGCTAATTACCTCAATATTCATCACACCTGCTCCTCTCTTCTTTCTGCATTGTAAACAGAAAAAACGGTATCTGTTCTCTCCAAATAATGTGTCAAAACTTGTGACAAATTGTACATATGATACCTATTACCATATAAACTGTGTATTTGGAAATAGTGGTAAAATATTCTACTAGAATTATGGCTTGAAATATTGTCAATTGTAATTATTTGGGTTATTTGTTAATTTTTTTCTCATTAAATAAAATAAATGTTTGGTCCAAAAAGTAAAGAAAAAAAAGTAAATATATTTTTTAATAGTTCTAAAGGAACTCATTCCCTCATTCACTTAAAAAAACAGCTTCAAAATGAAGATATCAGTTGAATGTATAGAATTATTATTTTTTGTATTACTAGAGGGGAAAGGAGGGGGGGTTGCCTATTTACAGACCTATGGACTTCATGTACTTTACAAACCATTATTTAAATCTCGAAAATCATTGAGAGCATTCCCTCATTTTCAATGATGTCTGTCAAGGGTTCAACTGAACAGAATACATATTTAATCTTCACCCCCTCCTGCCTGCTCCCTGTGAATTTTTCCTTAATATTTCCTGCTGCTTTCTCACATCAGCATGACTTCACACAGAAAATTTCCAAATGGGCTGGCATGAAATTTCCATGAAATTTCCGGGGTAAATGGAATTTAAAAAAATCATTTTTTTTGTTTTCAAACAGTAGCTCACCCAAAGAAATCTGGAAGTTTTTAGGAGTGTGAAAGCACCACTATTAATGTCTAACGCTCCCTTTCACTTTCAGTTATTGCAGTACTTCATCTGACCACCAAGGATCAGTATAGCCTAACATTAGAGTTTGGTAAGAACAGGCCAGAGCATAGGATTTCATGTTGAATTGTTCTCTTTACTTAAATGTATTGCACTGAAACAAAGAGGTACATTAATGTTCATTGCTTTATATCCTGCCCTAAATACAGTTAAACAATTTTTTAATTGTCCCAAATGATGTTTTACTGTTTAATGTTTTCTCCCTCAAAATGTTCTGAAAGATTATTTATTATGTGACTAATCTCCAGAAATCTAGCATTTTATCCCAGTCAGAGTAAAGGCCCAAATTTAAAAATCATGCCTCTCAGGGTCTGTGCCCTCCAGACCAGGGGTTCCCAAACTTTTCACTCAGCGACCCCCAAAATAACGATGCAAGAGACCGGGGACTTCTTCTGTCCCTGGAAGTGGTCAAAGCATAACGGTGCACACAGCATAACGGTGCACACAGCAGCACGCACTAATAGGCCTATCCAAACACTGACATTAGAACAACAATAAACAATACAGCAGCCTTAAACTAATTTTTGTATGTAATTTCACAATAATAGGTAAAATATGTAATTTCAAGTCATTTCCAGTTTGTATTTGCTTTTGGAAGGCAACTCGTGACCCCCCTCCCAGTGTCTTGCGACCCCCCCCACTTTGGAAACCACTGCTCTAGACTATGAACCTCACGCCCTCTGCTGTGTGTAGAGCGAAACAGAACAGAATATTTAATCTTTTTGGGAACAAAGTCCTGCTGTTCAGCATGATGTTGATCAGTGTCAAAGAGCAGATTATCACAATCTCTTAAAGTTGTGATGATGTATGATAATATAACAGGATTTGGGCCATTTTTACTTGCTCAGCCTGTTACCCTGCAAACCTTAGTTGCACATGCCTGCATGTATTCAGCTTATAAGATATGTATTTTCAAGCTTACTTTGGGCTTCCTTAG